AGAGAGAGAGAGAGAGAGAGAGAGCTGCACCGAGCCGCTGCGAATTGAGCCCGACTGCGAAACTCACTTCTCCATTATGCAAATAGCCCCTAACACTGGGCAGCCAATGAGACCACTACTCTCAACACGTTCTTTCCTCACTATATTCCTATTCCAGTGTAACCAGTGGTCCATTCAAATTGTACTGATGTAATATAAAGAACAAACATACTTCACATAATCTGAAATATTGTTTACTTTATGTAACCTTCATTAACAAATCTTAACAAGTCATCCTTTCTTTTCTTCTTACTTATCTGCGGATATACGGCAAAGTATTATCAGCCATTGCTTCAGTTAAATGTAAAAAATGGACAGAAAATTATATGAAACGACATTACAGAACAAAATACGTTATAATAAATAAATTATATAAATAAATTATAGGCTAAAGATTTAATTTCATAAATGATGTATTTTGACTCTTTTGTAGTCCTGTAGTTTGGTTCTTCTTTGTATCTACCTCCGATTTGGTCTTCCTTTGTACTTAACTCTGTACTAAATTAATACTGGGAGCAAGAAATATTTGATGTTAGGGAGTTTGCTCGTTGAAGGCTTTCTCCACCCAATCAGGTGAATCGTGAACCATCGTAGGGTCTACACTACAAAATTTGTTAGCTCTTTGAATTACGTGTCATGAGAACGCAAGATCCGCCGCGGCAGTGCATACTCGCAAGATACTGAAAAAGTATCAATTTTCAGGTTGAGATTCCCTCCTACAACACGTAAGCAAATCTGTTGAGTTCGTATGCGATCTTCACAATTTTAGCCGGGTACATAAAGATAATGTAGAAATAAAACAGAGTGCTTCAGAAACATTGGTGCGTACGACAGATAGGAGAGACGAAGAAGATCGCCTTTTACCAAAAAGCCTATTTCGAAGTATTACACCAGCGTTTTTTTATAGCGCGCTCATGATTGGTGGGCAAGTTATAATAGACTGATATTTGATACCTACACGAACTTTTCCAGTGGTCAACCTGTCACTTGAGAGTTTGTATTCGTGTCAAACATTGGTGCAGAATTGGCACCTACTAATCGAGGGCGCGTTGTAAAAAAAAGCAGCTGTGTTACTTTGTTGGAAGTTATTTTCCACAACATGTTCTTTGGCAAAAAGTTATCATTTCTGTTCCCCTACATGCCACAAAAGTTTTTTTTAAACGTTGATGTATTCTCAACTATCATGTGTAAGTTAATTGTCTCAGACAATGCAGCTTGTGTATGTTGCACCATGCAAGGAAATATCGATCGCGATTTCTACGCCGGAGTCGTGAAACTGGCCGAGCCGAGCTGCGATGGGGGAGGAGAACGAGGATTGGGGAGGGGAGGGTGGGAGCGGTCGGGCGAGCGCACTGCCTCGTCCCGCCCCGCAGACGCTACGACCCTGCCGCCTTTTCTATATAAAACGCCGAATTGTTTTTATTGCGGGAGTAAAGCTGCTGGAGTTCTCGGAATTGCGTCAAAGTGGACGGCGGAAACAACGGGCGACCCGCAGCGTGCGTCTGTGTAATTATAGCAGAATGGCCGCGTAACCTTGGCGGGCGCTTGCGTTCTGCCGCATTAGACGGCGCTCGCGCCTCAGACTCCCGCGCCCGAATTTCACGGGCATTTCCGGAGTATTGCGCATGCGCTGTTTGCAGTTTGTGTGCAAAGTGGGTGCTAACAAGGGGAATGACGGGGGGCTCTAATTGTCGATATTGTCTTCGCAGAATGATGGCTTTCAGGCTATTCAACTAAACGCCCACGCTCACTGGGGAGATCTCAGTGAGTTAATATCATGTAGGACAACAGTAATGAGTACACATTCAATTTTCTGAGAAATTATAATGAGCTCAAATGATTCACAGAACATTATTAATGTTAAATCAAGTTTTTATTTTAATAATGGTTGGCTTTGCGAGTACGTTAGTTGTAAAGTTATAAATCATCTCGATTTCATAATTAATTTACATATTTTTTCTCATATTTCGATGTGTAAATATTAAATTTTAATCTTTCACAAAAAAATGTTTTATGTGTGTTAATGTTTTGAATAGCACTGTCTCATATTTTTTAGCGAGTAAAAAGAGTAATATCTGAACAAAAATGATTCTCATCCTTATATTTTTCTCAAGTATTTGTGTGTTCCCAACCGTCTAAGTGAAACGAAGGACATATTGCGAATCCCATTTGCCCGCAGTACATTTGAATCTAGCGGGTTGCCTAAACGAATTATTCAATAGAAAATATTCACTCCTGGAAAGTGGTTCTGGAATGTGATTCAAGAGGCTCGAAACACAACTAGAAGGAGTGTTTCAATTACTTCACAGTCTCTTACTATACTTGTAAGGTAAACACATCAGTATTCTGCCTTAAAGTCCGAGTCGTTTACGTTTACGTAAGTTGATGATACCTCAAACACGTAGATATTAATCGAAATATCATTTCTTCAGGATCTGCTACTTAAAGAGTGTGACGAAGACCTACATTTCAAATTTGTTTACATTTTAATACAAGTACAACGGTACTAATAATATTTTTGTACAGTTAATTACATTGTCATATACGTACGTATATACGAAGTATATAGAAAGTAATGTAATGTAGCGGAAACTCAATTTCGGAATTTCAACGTAAATACACTTTTGGAATCTCCTGATTCCGAAAAAGGTTTTTTTTTCTAAAACATCCATCCATCTATGAACACCACTGGTGCCTAAATCATAGGTA